GCACTCCGTCAGTCGACGCCAGTCTCACGCTCCAATCGGGCCCGCGACGCCAGCGGCTTAAAAAGGGGTAAGAGCTTCCATCGTCCCGCCGAGTCTGGGCGCGGGGGCGGCAATGCTGTGAACGACCCAACAATAACGGTGGTTGATGGGGCCGGATAGAGTAAAGAAAGCCGGTAGAGGCGTATCGACGAGGAAAGAAGGCAGTCGAGGTTTGTATCGAGGGATAACGGTCCCCGGGCAATGAGGAGAGGGACATGGAGAGCAACGTCTGGTGAGAAGGAGAAAGCGGGGGACGGTGCATGGTGAATCACAGGATCCAGTCATTATCGAGCGAAGTGTGTCTCACGTTGGGATATTTGCAAAATTGGCCTTTGGTTGTGTGTCTTCAAGAAAAAAGAGAGACAGGATAATCTAGTGGAGGGAACAGAGAGACATTCAGCGCCAGCCCCGCTCACGTTGCGCACCAACGTGAGGAAAGTCACTCACCCAATGGACAAAGAGAAGCCCACCGACGCCTATGAGACAATTTCTTGACATATTTACGCGGCTTTGCCGGTGTGACTGGCGCCGTGACAGCATCAGATGGGATTCATCACCTGTGAACGCCGCAGTCCTCCGCCTCTGCCATACGCGCTTATGAACCTCTCTTACCAAATACATTGCACGACAGTCATTCCGTGCATGGAGGACCTGTGACAATTGACACATTTCACCCTCTTTTAGTGTCGATTAGCATGGAAAGGTTGGCAACACAGGACCGCGGGGGGGCGTAATGCTTGCTTTTGAAGTTTAGAGGGTGGTGAAGCCACGCACGCGCCTTCACGACGCTGGCTCCCTCTTCAAGCCAGTCAAAGTCAGGTGTACACGCAACGGATGATGCTTGACGTCCACACAATATAGTGCTGGGCGCTTCGGTCCCTTGCCGATGGAAGTTCTTGTTGTGTTGATTTAATTATTGGGATGAACCTCTTGCCCTGTAGAGGGTTGGGAGGGAGCTAGCGAGGCACCTGAAGAGGAACTTCAACAGGGAGAACAGCAACGTAAAGCCCCTGTGTTACCATGGCCCGGGCTTGCCCTCCACGAGACGTTCGGTAAAGTTCACAGGCACCGTAGCCGTTTCCTACCCTCCCTCTTCATCGATGTCATTGGTTGTACATAGTGCAACAATGACTAGCCTCAACAGAGCCCGGAGGCAAGCTTACTACCCTCCTTTCCTTGCCAGGGCGTATTTTTTTTGCGAGAAATATAAAGCGATGCATTGATGGCAAGCAGATGATGATGCCACTGAATGATATGAGGCATTACAAGCTACACATAATTATTTTGAGTGGGCTTCAGCTTGTCTCTTTACTTCCTCCTCTCTCTCGCCCTCCTCTTCTACCTTGCAAATCCCCTTTAGCGCACGCTAAATCCCAACACCATTCGTCGTTGAGCACAAGCCGTAGATTACCACGTCGCCTTTAGTACCTTCAACGCAATCCTCATCCCCCTCTGTCCTCCCCACCATCATACGCCTCCTACTCCGGTTCTACTTCTATTGGATCCTTTCCTTGCACTGTTTCGTCCTTCTCCTTCCTCTGAAGCCAGCCCCCTCGACGCATCGCCATGGCGCAGGAGCAGAACCAAAACCGTCACCGCACACATTCAATCCCTCTAGCCTTCCTTCCGCTCTGGCGGAGAGCCTCTCACCGGCGTGCCAATGACGGCCTCCGGGGGGTTCGTTCCACGACATTTTTTCCCTCCCTCTCCCTCCTTCTCCTCTTCGCGTCCTCCTGCTTGACAGCACACGCCTTCCTCCCTCTTCCCTGCCGGTTTAAGTTTGCTCTCGCGGCGGTCCCCGGCCACCGACGAGGGCTATTGAGCGGCGCTCTGAACGATGTGACAGGCGAGATGGCAAGCACGTCGGCGAAGGTGCGAGAGGGAGGGAGGGAGAGAGGGCAGGAGGGAGGGAAGGAGGGAGAGCGGAAGGGAGGGAGTCAAAAAGAAGGATGCCGCAGCAGGCCGGAGCTGGAGAGACATAGACACGCCCGGCGGACACCGAGGGAAGAGAGGCGGCGGGAATTGAAGGAGGGGAGTCGTAGGAAAAAGGAGTAGGGTCAGAGGAAAAGAGGGGAGAAGCCCTGTTGCGCTAGCCTTGTTGGGAGTATACATTCGGGGGGAGGACAAATGAGACCAGGAGACGACTTCCCAACGCGCCCCTCCCTCCCCCTCTCTCTGTGCTCAGGGAGCCGTCACCTTAGGCCCTTACAAGAACGGGGCACTCTCCTTCACGTACCCAAAGCCGACCGTAAGCGACGCCGAGGTAGAGGCGCAGGTGAAGACGGCGGCGAAGAAGACATGTAGGTATCGGGCAGGGGGAAGGGGAGGGAAAGAGAGAGAAGAGGGGAGGGAGGGAAAGAGGAGAGGGGGATGGAGGGAAAGAGGGAGGAAGGAACTGCGTACGGCCGGTTGTGACGCCGCTTGACTCCTTCTATGGACAGTCAAGCTGACGCCGGTGCGTTTTGTGGAAGAGGGTGGTACACGCATGGGGCACACGGTCGTCTGTGAC